AAAAAAAATAAGCTATCATCGAAGAAAATCGATGCAAAACTACGTAAGTTATAAGCGATCAAATAAAAATACCCAGGTTGCGCAACTTCAATGTATGTACCTATACATACATACATATATTAAAGGTATAAAGTGCAAGTGAGATATTATCCGGATAAACGAATAACACCATAACAATGATAACACTTTTTCTTTAAATAAATCAAATAGTACTTTTAATACTCGAATTGTATTATAGTAGGTAGAGTGGTTGCATCGAAAGGAAGAGTGGTTGGGTTCGAAACCTGCTGTAGGCATGTAGTTATAAACATGTATTTCCGTCAGTTATGAGTAAGTATGCAGGTAGATTTTCAAAATTATAAGACACAGAAAATTTCTAAAGCCTACATCTAAAACAGGTAGTATTTTCTTTTCCCGGCTTGTTATAAAAAGGAACCTTTCTGTCTAGGTAAGATTTGATTTTTTCAATTTTATTCTTGTTCCGAGTATAAATATGAGTTAATGCGCTTTGAAACTTCATAACATCTTCAAGGCTCGCCGGAGATAGTTCAGTTCATAAGTCTAATTTCAAAACCGTGATTTATTAAAAAAAATAAAATGAGTAAAAGGACGCGAGAATTTGAGTGTAATAAGAATCCAGATATGTTCTGTTTCATGTGTGGCCAATATACTATCATAAGGCGACGACGAGTGTTCTCAGATCATATCAAAACTTTATACTCCAAGTATTTTGGAATTGAGCCTAAAAATGCTGAAAAACCATGGACACCGAACACTTTGTGTACATCGTGTCGAGTAGAATTGATTCAGTGGGAATCAGGACAACAAACAAAATTTGATACACCAATGATATGGAGAGAACCTACTTGCCATTCAATAGAGTGTTATATTTGTCAAACAAAAGTACTTGGCGTTGGAAGATCAAGAGGAGTAACCTATGCTAGCGTACCTACAGTGACATTACCAGTACTACATTCAACGGCAGTTGCGGATCCAGTTCCATTGTCAACAGTAACATTTGAGTGCGGGGGATCAAGTTGTACTGAATTTCGCATGGAAAACGAAAGAAACGTTCTGTCACAAGCACAACTTAATGATTGGATAAGAGATTTGGAACTATCCAAGGAAAAGGCCGAGATCCACACTTCTCGTATGCAACAATTTAAATTTGTGTCATCCGATGTTAAGGTGACATATAGTAGAACTCGTCACGAACCATTTTCCAAACACTATACCAAGAAAGACAGTATATGCTACTGCAACGACATCCCTGGTTGTTTTCAAAGAGTTTGGTCAAACATATGATTCAAAAGAGTGGCGATTGTTCATAGACGGCAATAAACTGAGTTTGAAGGCTGTATTATTGCATATTGGTAACAAAAAGCCTTCTATCCCGATTGCACATGCAGTAAATACAAAGGAAACCTACGAGGAAATGCAAAAAATACTCAAATTTATCAAATCTGAAGAGCATGATTGGAAAATATGTTCTGATCTCAAAGTCGTTGCAATGCTATGCGGTCTACAAAGTGGCTACACCAAGCACTGCTGCTTCTTCTGCAAGTGGGATAGCCGAGCTCGTAAGGACCACTACGTCAGAAAGGATTGGCCGGAAAGAGTCGAGTTTACCGTTGGTGTGGATAACATCAAATACACCCCTCTTGTCAAGAAAGAGAAAATCATACTTCCACCCTTACACATCAAGCTCGGTCTCATTCAAAACTTTGTTAAGGCTTTGGACAAAGAAGGCGAAGCATTCGACTATTTGAAAACAGTTTTTCCAGATATTTCTCAAGCCAAGATAAAGGAAGGTATTTTTGTTGGACCACAAATAAGAAAGTTGATCAACAATAATCAATTCAAAGGACTACTCTCATCAGTTGAGGCAGCAGCGTGGGAATCCTTTGAAAAGGTCGTTGCTTCTTTTCTCGGTAGACACAAAAGCCCTAACTACGAGCAGATATTGAACGACCTAATCAATAATTATGCGAAAATGGGCGTAAATATGTCTTTAAAAATTCACTTTCTCCACTCACATTTGAGCTTTTTTCCGGCAAATCTTGGCGACGAAAGTGATGAACATGGCGAAAGGTTGATGATGGGTGATTACTGCTGGTTTCTCATAAGAGAAACCGATCCTAAACTGAATAAGCGTCAAAGTAGAACACATAATTATTTCGACAACATAGTAAAATCAAATTAAGATAAAGATTGTTAGAATATAGTATAAACATAAATAAATTTAAAAAAAAAGTTAAAAATATGGGTAATTTCATTCATAAATTGAACTTTTAACTCAATAGAAACAGCGCATAGCTAGATATTTCACTCTTCTTTATACCATACATACGTTTTGAGGTATACGTTGAAATTGCGCAACCTGGGTATTTTTATTTGATCGCTTATAACTTACGTAGTTTTGCATCGATTTTCTTCGACGATACCTTATTTTTTTTGTAATACAACAGAGCTTAGGGAGAAAAAAAAAATCTGCAAAAAAATTAGAGGTTTTCGAGATCCTTCCCCGCAAAGTACAATTTTTTTTATATTTTTACAAAAAAAATTGAAAAAATCGGTAATGATTGTTCGTTATCTTTGAATCTACAGGGCCTAGCAAAAAGTGTTGTATGCACAGTTTATAGAAAATTTTATTACCTTTTAAAAGCTTGAAACCGTTTTGGAATTGCTTAATTCGTTCTTGAGATATATATGATTAAGTGGACCCAATTTTTTTTTTTTGCAAAAACGGTAAATTGCAAATATCTCAAAAACGGTACCATAAAATTAAAAATAACCTTGATTTTCGGAATCAGGGGGTGATTTTACATACGAATTTCATAACGGCGTCTCTGGTAAATTTTGGCCGTCGACCAGTGTAATGAGTGAAAATAGTGCGAAATTTCATGTTTCTAGCTGCATATATGGAGAAGTTATAAAAAAGGATCTCATATCTGAACAATCAGTTGTATGGAGGCTATAGGTTATAGCGACCCGATCTTCGCCATTTTCACTGTAAGTATTTTTTTTGCTGCATATATGGAGAAGCTATAACAAAAAATCGCACATCTGAACAATCAGTTGTATGTGAGCTATATGTAAAAATGACCCGATCTTTGTTATTTTCACTGTAACTATTGCTAATGGGTAAAAGTCTTGCAAAATTGTATGTTCCTAGCTGCATATATGGAGAAGTTATAACAAAGGATCTCATATCTGAACAATCAGTTGTATGGAGGCTATAGGTTATAGCGACCCGATCTTCGCCATTTTCACTGTAAGTATTTTTGTTGATAATGGGTGGAAATATTGCCAAATTTCATGTTCCCAGCTGCATATATGGAGAAGTTATAACGAAAAATCGCACATCTGAACAATCAGTTGTATGGGAGCTATATGTAAAAATGACCCGATCTTTGTTATTTTCGCTGTAACTATTGATAATGGGTGGAAGTCTTGCAAAATGTCATGTTCCTAGCTGCACAAATGGAGGAGTTATAACGAAAATTCTCATAACTGAATAATCAGCTGCATGGGAGATATATGTTATAGTGATCCGATCTTTGTTATTTTCGCTCTAAGTTTTCTGTTGATAGTGGGTGGAAGTATTGCAAAATTGTATGTTCCTAGCTGCATAAATGGAGAAGTTATAACGAAAAATCTCATGTCTGAACAATCAGTTGTATGGGAGCTATATGTTATAGTGGTCCGATTCTTCCGGTTCCGACAAATGATTAATACATTATAAAAATACACCCACCTACCAAATTTCATCCAGATATCTCGAAAAGTGAGAGACTAGATTGTATACAAACAGACGGACAGACAAACAGACAGGCAGACAGAAAGACGGAAAGACGGCTAAATCGACTCAGATCGATGTTCCGATCATTTAAGTATACATTTTAATAGGTCTATCTCTTCTTATTCTGGTACTTACAAACATCGGACCAAAGTTATAATACCATTTCATGCTCGTGAAAGGTATAAAAAATATCGAATAAGAACAGCACATTTTGTTTACTTTTAAATACGGTTTTAGCGGGTGCGCTATAAAGACACAGGTATAAACTCTTGAAAGAAATACATATGTGTTGACTAAACGCATGCGGTTCTTGCGCAAGTATAAATAAGAATTCTAATGTAGTTCTGAAATCGAAAATCAGGTCAGAAAACTATGTTAGAATTCGATTAGAGAATGATTAGTAAAAAACTATACATTTGAAACCAATTAGAATTCAACGTTAGAACACGATTAGATATCTAATATTTTCTCAATATAGAGATCTAAGTCGCCATTTTGTAGAGAATGCTATAATTCTCAACAGTTTCTCTAATCATCTCTAACCTTCTACCATACATATTAGATTTCGACTCCTTTTCCAATCGTTCTCTAACCTTAATGTTTGTTGGGTTCTTCGCATCCACTGTTGTGATTTCTCTTGTGCTCAGTAATATGCCACAAAAATGCTTAAGAAATGCATCAAATTTAAAAATTGGCTCTGATATATTAGTTGCGTTCCTTATCTTCCAGAAATAGTCATAAATAGTCCAAAGTATGTAGTCAGATTTAGTCCAAAAAGCGTTTCTTAACTTGAAAATGACAGCAGAAATGAGAGAGCAACTACGACTCTCTTCAGTCCTTAGTTACAAGCAGGGTTGCCAACTTGGCTCAAACAGTGCCATTCTTGGCCCTATTTTACTACAAAATGGCACTTTTGAAAAATAATAAAATTTCAATACATTTTTGGGAAATCCTTTGCGTGTACTTTTTTTCTCAACTAAAATTTTCTTATTTCTTAGTATACACCTGTTTTATCTTACTTTGGCATTGGTCGATGAGGCGGCTCTTGGGTGTTTGAGAGAAAGATTTTGCGGAAGATTTACGGTCCTTTACGCGTTGGCGACGGCGAGTACCGCAGACGATGGAACGATGAGCTGTATGAGCTTTACAACGATATGGACATAGTGCAGCGAATTAAAATACAGCGGCTCCGCTGGCTTGGTCATGTCGTTCGAATGGACACCGACGCTCCAGCTCTGAAAGTATTCAACTCGGAACCCGCTGGTGGTAGCAGAGGAAGAGGGAGACCCCCACTGCGATGGAAAGATCAGGTGGAGAAGGACTTGGCTTCACTTGGCGTTTCCAATTGGCGTCAGTTGGCACAGAGGAGAAACGACTGGCGTGCTTTGCTGAACTCGGCCAAAATCGCTTAGGCGGTTACAGCGCCAAAAAAGAAGAAGAAGAGGCATTGGTCTTTTGTTTTAGGAATGTATTTCTAATTTTAATCCTAAATGGGATGAACTAAAAAGAATGGCACCTTTTTTGGCACTTTTATTTTTCTATTTGGCACATTGTGGCACTATTTTATCCTCAATATGGCACTTCATAGCTAAGTATAGTTGGCAGGCCTGGTTACAAGATTTAGTCAGAAGAGTTTTTGCTGGCAAAATCTTGAAAAGTGTCAAACTCAACTCAACGAAAAGTGAGAATAATCTAAAAATTAATAAAGTGAATTGAAAATGGAAGGAGGAAAAACATAATTGATATAGTAAGTGTTTATTGTGCTTGTGTGAATATGTTTTGTACATATATTTATAATTTTATTTGACATTAGTTTTGTTGTTGCCATTCTGTGGACTAAAAATTTGGATTTTTGCGTTCCTTTACTTTCTCCTGTTATACTCTTTCAGTGAGCGCATTTTCCTTAAGCTCTTGCATTTTGACACTTTCCAGATTTTAGTCTAAAAAGTTAAGGAATGGATCGATTTTAAATATTAAAGTCATTGCCGCGTATTTTTGAGCGCAGTATAAATACGGTGACTATCTGTTCTGTTTTTTGCAGGACCGTACTGTTTTTCAAAGGTCGGTCCTGCGTAGTTTTTCAAACCTGAAAAACCTGAAAATGTACTGATTTTTTCCAAGTGTCCTGCATTTGTCCCGCATTTTATTCGTTATTTTAAAATTATCGGACAATGGATGGATTTTTTCAAAAAAGTGTTTTTTGGTACTTTTCGTAGCTTTTCTTCAATATCTCATGAAAAAATCTCCCAATCAACGTAAGCGACTTACAGCTCGAAGGGTATTGATGTGCCTCTTACAAAATATATAACTTGTGGCGACTTCAATGAAAATTATTAGTGCTACAGGCGACCATTTGCATTTTGTCGTCAAAGTCAAAAAAAGTGAGATTTTCAATCAAATACGCAGTTTCATTTGATTATTTTTTTCATTCTTTTAAAAATTCGATAAAGAAGATATATCACTACAGTAAATTTTGAGCCAAAGATAATGAAAATCGGATTAGAAATGTAGATGCTATGGAGCGCAATCTGCACAAATTATATATTTTTGTAAAGGGCACTTTGTAACTCGTCGTTTACGTCGATTCATGACGTCGATTTTTAACAAATAACTGCGAAAAGTACCAAAAAATAAAAAAGGTTATTGTTTTCGTTTTGAGCGACTCAAAATTGGCCTATAAAATAATCTTTTAAAGGTTTTCACTTTTCGTGTAAGCTATTGTAATTATAATATGTTTTACTATACTTTTATAAATATTCATGTAAAAACAAATTAATAGCGATGAAGAAAACGTGATTCATTTTTTAAGTTTAAAATCTATTAAGAATTTAGAATCATAAATACTCTTTTGATATTTTTATACTACGTAAATATATGTAGGCATATTTTTGAAAAATTGTCCTTCATTTTGAATCCATATTTATGGTCACCGTAGGTATAAATCATAACAGTGATGCGAAGATTTTTGTACATAATTGCGTTAGAATAGGGCTGTAAGAAGCAAAGTCTTACCCAAGCGCTGCAGACTTTTTTGATTGCGAAACAGCTCGTCAACAACAACTGACAGTTGATTGCCATCAAGTAGGACTTTATTGAGGTGTTTGACGTCGCGAAATTCATCTTTGTCGAGGAATTTGAACTGAAAGTATAGGAAAAGTGTAATGAAAGTATGTATTAGACAATATTTTACTTTGAGTATTTGTTTGCCAAAATAAAAAAAAGAAAATTTCACTAAATTAAAGCGAAACAAATAAACAACCAATGATTTTTTATAGAAGCTACAAACTCTTTCAACAAAACTGGTGGCTGAGTCAGTCTCCACTCTTAAACTGCTTTGCTTACCTCATTGCGACCCAAATCCAATTCATTAAGCATGGGCAATAAGTTATACAATTGTGGATTGATTTTCTTCAATTGACAACTGCGACATTTGAAGAGACGAAGCTCCTGTAGAAAAATAATAGAATCTTAATGAATATGCAGAAATTGGAAAGAAAATCAAATGAAATAAATTTACAAGTATATACTTTATACTACTATATACATACATACACAGTATATAAGAAAGAAGCGGAGCTGTGTAACTGTGAATTTATTTTAAATCATGAAATATTTACAAGTTTAGTCACTTTTCTCTTGTTCGGCAGTGGGGATTGTATTTTCTAAATTTACAATCATTAAAAAAAAGTGATTGATAGAGCTCGGATATTTATGCAAGTGATTATTTTTGTTTAACACAACAGAAAGTCCGGACCTGGGTAGAAACTCATTGTAGGAGGAAGTGAGTTAATTTGGACCTATTATGTTTTGCATATTTTCACATATTTTGTATGTTTGCATATTTGTATATTTTCATATTTTTTTTATATATTTTGCATATTTTTGTATATAATTGCATATTTCCTATAAATAAATTAGTATAAGCATGTCACTTTGATGGCAGCTCTTGTTAACTCCGAACGTGACATACTGACCTCATTCTGCCTCAATAGTGATGACCAGCTACGCCAGCATAGAACAAATCTAATTTATTGTGGTATGTAGGCAAGTGCAAGCGATGCTGTGAAAATCTTTTGCAAGTTCGCCAACTAAGGCTCAACACCTTCCTTAAGTACAATAGGTAGGATGCCATCCGGACCGGGCGATTTGAGATTGTAAAAAGACTAAATAGCATATCTTAGGGCATCTTCATTAGCCACATTTCTGGCAACAAACCAGTTGTACATTGACACTGTGGTTCTCGTATACCCTCCCCCACCAGTCGAGGGAGAGGAAGGCGAAACCATCACCTGATTTCCACCAAATTGAGTCTCTTGAAGAACAGAGAGTTCTCAGTTAAAAAGCCATCAGGACTCTTGAGTGAACGCAGCTTTGTGGTTTGGCCTTTCTTCAGAACTTTTACCAGCGTAGCCGTTTGATCCAAGATTTCAATCCCGCTGCAGCCCGCTTCGCAGAGCGAATTATACTACGTTTCCAACGGCACGTAATCCGCTCTCCCATTCATAATTTTATCTCTCATTCGTAATTGGCACAACAGTGAAGTCTGTTCCCCTTGTGAGCGGTATTCTTTACTCCATAGCTTTGAACCAATCCCAGTTAGTTTGGGAGAGGTATTTCACCACAATGGTCCCATCCCTCTCTTATGAACGAGCAGAGGCTACAGTACCGGAGGCATTGACGGCCCGGATCAGTGTTTAATTTCCGCAGTAGTCATCTGCCGAGCCTTACCCGCCCTCCCCATTACGGCAATGAGCAGAGGACCTTTTACGAGCTCACATTAAGTTGCCCGGGACCCAGACCTCCAGACGTAGTTGCTTCGAGGGAATAGCGGGGCAGTTCTGCCTCGACCGACCCTTGCATCGCTTCTACCCTTGGTTTGAGGCAAGCGTTTCGTGGCGCCAGAGGTCTGTCTGGATGATCGGAATTGGGCAATGCCACACCATTTCTTTTTCTTCCTACTCTCCTCCAGGATGCGCTCCTGGTCTATGACGTAGGAGACTTTGGCAATGGTTGAGGCCGCAAATGCGGATGATTTCCCACAGATACTACTAAAGTAGTTTAAAGGGTTAACTAAATACAAGTTGTTAATAAATTTGAAGCTATGCATTTAACAAAACTTGTTTAATTTTCTCTGAAATCTTAATAACATGAACACTAGTGAAAACGACTTCGGTCTTGTTTCCTAGGTGTTATTTAAATTGTTGTATACTGATCTTTTTTTAGCATATCTAACTATGTATTTTTTTACAATTTTTTAATAAAAATATTTCTTGCATATAGTTTACATACATTTTGCATATTCAGTTTGCATAAAAGTCCGAGCTCTAGTGATTGCACACAGCAAGTGCTACACACATGAATGAAAAACTAAGACTGCTTAATGGTAGGGGAGCCCACGATGCTTAATTGGGATTTACTCGAGCGTCATTTTTACCTATTCGATTTTGAAGATTATATGATGGGGAGAAAAAAGTCATGAGCGGTTTCTCCTTCCAGCGGTGGTTGTAAAAAAAAAAACAGTTACATGGATTTACTCGAATGCGTCAGATATGGATAGTGAATTAGGGATGCAGAACAAATATCGATGCATCGGAAACATCGATGTTTGCTGTTCGATGGATTTTTTTCGATGCATCTATTTTTGCGTGCAATGTACACTGTACATATTAAAATTATTTTGTATGCTTCCAAACTCTTTGCTCTAGTAACTATTCTAAATGTGAAAATCTAACTATTTATGCACTATTAGAACATATATTCTATTAATATTATGCAAAAGGTATGAGTTATTTGCACTAATAAATTGCTAATTTAAAAGTAGAAACGTTTATTGTCAAACAACCATGTACAAAATGATATTAATTTACATGATATTGATACTATAAAACCCTTTGGAAATTTGGGCAGATTTTAAACAGCGATTCTCAAAAGTGCTTCACATAGCTTATAAACATAGTGAAATAATATAAAGTGATGTACGCTTTATCTTGAGGGATTGAAAACTTCAGTACTGCAACGTTATGTGTGCTTTTGCACAAGCGCACATAGAGACGAATCGACAATATAGGACGACAAAAATGTTTACTCTATATGAATTTGACAGATTTCAATGAAATTTGGTATTTAGGGATTTTCATCACATAGGATTTTCGTCGTCACTGAATTCGAAGATTAAATTAAATTTCTAAAACTCAAAATGGCGAATCCAGTATGGCGGACGATTTATTAAAAAATTTATAGATTGTTATTAAGCTTAGTATCCAGAGCTTTTCGTCGTCACTGATTTCGAAATTGATTTTTAATTTAAAAAAATGAGATTGGCGGATCGAATATGGCGGAATATTTCTTCAAAAATGTATAGATTGTTATGAAGCTTGGTATCCAGAGATTTTCGTCGTCACCGGTTTCGAAATTGATATTATGTTTTCAAAAATTCAAAATGGCGGATCAAATATGGCGTCCCGAACAATAGGCGTTTTACTTTTAACGCAATGTATTACCTTTAGCACCATTTCAACCCATTTTGGATTTCGAAAATTTAATTTCAATTTCGTAATCAAAGATAACGAAGATCTCTGAATACCTATGAAACTTATAATTAAAAAAAGCGGTCCGCCATACTGGATCCGCCATTTTGATTTTTGAAAATTTGATATCAATTTCGAAACTAGTGACGACGAAAATCTCTGGATACCAAGCTTCATAACAATCAATACATTTTTGAGATATCTTCCACCATATTGTATCCGCCATTTTGAATTTTGAAAATTTGATATCAATTTCGAAATCATTGACAACGAAAACCTATCCAAATTTCATTGAAATCTGTCAAATACATATAAACAACTTAAGAAAAATATGCTCTATTTAATGAAGGTGGAAAAGGGGGGACGAGTTCAATTTATAAAATAAGAATTATACCCATTTTACAAACAACTATATTATTAACAAAAATCACAAAATAAAGTACGCACCTCACGCCTCAATTTCCATGTTGACAAAACTATTAGTTGTTATCTATATATTAATACGCTAGCATAAATTTAGTCTCCGTTCGTTTGGCGATTCTACCGAACCGATTTCAAAACCAAGAACACCGTTGGAAAGGCATTTTTCCGTAGATGAGCAGAGTTTTTATGGTTTCACAACTGGTTGAAAATTACGGCCAAAACCGTCGTTTAAACATTTTCGAATTGTGTATAGATGTTGCTGCAACATGTTCCATTTGACACGTTTCGCCTGTTGTTTCACTACACATTTGAAATTAAGCTTTGAAATAAAGATAAATATGAAGATGAAGAAATAAATGATAACGATGAAGTCAAAAAAAAGAAGGCAGAAGTGAAGATAAAGACGAAAATGGAGACAATGACAGATACATAAGAATTAGGGTAACTGAAAGGGTAAGAACATTTCTTGAATTTATGAAGTGAAACTTCTTTAGCGGCAGTTGGTTGGTTGGGAGTAAATTGTCGAATTCAAGGGGAATAATGCACATGGAAATGGTTCTCAGCGGTTTAGCGGTTTGAGAATAAAAACAAAAACAAAGAGGTAAATTTAAACACTTTAAGGTAAAGGTGAAGAGGAATATGCAAAAATAAAGATATATATGAAGAAAAGGATGAGGATGAAGATCGATATTGTTATCGATATAAAACTCGATATTTTTATCGATATTGCTATCGATAAAATAATCTATGTTGTTATCGATACTGTTATTGATCAAATAACCGCTATTGTAATCGATGTAATAATCAATATAAAAATCGATATTGTTATCGATACAATAATGGATATTGTTATCGGTATAATAATCGATTAAATAATTTATTTTGTTATCGATTTAGTAATTTATGTTGTTATCGATATGTACAATAATCGATACTGATGATTGTTATATTTTATCGATGAATTAATCGATTTTGCAATCGTTGTATTTTTCTATATGTTTATGGATATTGTTATCGGTATTTTTATCGACACAGTTATCAACAGGGTTATCGATGTAATAATCGAAACATGGAATGTGAACACATTACATGACATCACATCACAATATATAACATGATATGAAGAGACATCATATGATATTACATCACATAATATGATATCACATCACACGATATCACGTGACATGACGTCATATGATATGACATCACATTATATGGCATGACATCACATGACTTGACATCACATGATATGACATCGTATGACATGACATGGCATTACATGACGTGGCATCACATGATATGACATCATATGGTATGACATCTTATGGTATGACATCATATGACATGACATCAGAGGATATGACAACACATGACATGACATCCTATCACATCACATAAAATCACGTCACATCTTATTACGTCATCGCACCTCGTGAATAGAAAAAGAAAAGGATATAAGAAAAGATGTGAAAGATAAAAACAAAGATGAAGACCAAGGTAAATTTACCGATTTGAAAACCAAAAAAACCGTTGGAAAGGTAATTTTCTGTAGATGAGGAGAGAATTATAGTTTCGAAAGTGGTTGAAAATCGTCGTTTAAAAATTTCCATATTTGTGTATGGTTGTTTTTGCAACCTGTTCAATTTAAGCTGTTTCGCATTTTGTTTTACTTCGTATTTGAAATTAAACTTTGAAATAAAGATAAATATGAAGATGAAGAAACAAGTGATAACGATGAAGACAAAAAAGGCAAAAGTGAAGATAAAGACGAAAACACAACAAACAGACAATGAGAAACACATAAGAATTAGGTTAACAGAGTTGAAATTTTCCGATAGGAATCGAAATAAAATCAGCCATAAAGGTTGCTGAAATTTATCGAATAATCGAAGTTTATAATTATCGAAATTTATCCATGCTTATTAAGTTATCGCAACGTATCGAATTATTCGAACTGATCAATGTTTACTGAGTTGTCGAAATTTATAGACACAGAAGCTTAGTTGTCCAAATCTCGGATAGTTATCGAGCTATACAAATTTGTGAAATTAACGAAATTTGTCAAGTTAAAGAAATGTATCAAGTTATCGATATTTATTTAATTGTCATTATTTATAGACTTAACGAAATTTATCGAGGTGTCGTAATGCATAGAGTTCTTTCAACTTACAGAGTTATCGATAATTATTGATCTACTGAAATTGGTTGGTTCAACGAAGCGAAGTTTATGGAATTTTCAAAATATATCGATTTATCGAAATTTCAAGGTAATATAAGCTTATCGATTTATCACTGCTTATCGAATTTAATCGTCTTAACAGAGTGTAACGAGTTATCAAAATGTTTAGATAGTTTTCGAAAAATGTGGAGATGTCAAAAATAAAAATTTATAAAGGTATCCAAAGTTTCTACATTTTTGAGTTATCGAAATTTATCGAGCCATCGAATTTCACAGTTAACGAATTTTGTTGAGCTATCGAATTTTAGTGTTCTTGATATTCATCGAACTATCGATATGTATCAAATCATTGAAATTTATTGATAAACTTGAATGTATCGGGACAATTCCAAGTCCTGCCGAAGTCCTCCAAAGACCTTCTCAGATAAAAAAAAAAAATTAGTTACGTTTTAGCAGAAGATTTTCCGGTTAGTTTTTTGTACCGTACAAGTTTTGCTACGTGTTAAGTTAGAAAACCTCTCCAAGGCTTCTAAAACTAGAAAAACTGTCGAATTTCGACAGTAACTGGCACTCTAGTTAAGAATAAAATGACAAGCGCAATTATTTTAATTGTAATTATGTAATTCGACGCACGATAGAAAACTAAACTTTGCGCTTCTGCTTAAGCTGCTGCGTTGCGTTAAAAGTCAAAATTTGTGAGTTACATTGTGGACCGGTTTATAAGGAGTATT